TCTCTCTCTCTCTCTTCGCTCTGTCGTCTCTGATCATCTCTCCCTCTTCGTCTTCGGTCATCTCTCTTGTGTCTCGCCTCCTAAAAAATCATAATAAAAGAGAAAAAAAGGCTGGCGCTCCAAACCCCACATCTTCAAAAATCAATCCCAACTTGAAAATTCCGGCAAGACGCCATAGATCTGAATATCCAATCAATCCCAACTCAAAAATTCCGGCAAGACGCCATAGATCTGAATATCCGTGGCGTTTGATGGAAGGCGACTAAATGGGTTTTCCTTTTCGATGGAGAGTGGGGGCTGTCCGAAGGGGAAAAATGTGGACTTGCTTTGCTTTGGGTACGGAAAAACCTACAGACCCATCGCCCTCGTTCTCAATCAACGGCAAAACCCTTTAACGGACCGAAACAGTCGGGTGCGTCGTGAATCGCGTGCTCAAACCAGACAAATTCTTCCAGTTTGTCGTCGACGACGACACCGTTGCATCCCCTGTGTCCTCTGGCTCAACCATGCAACGGCGTCTTACTTCTCCAGGCGCAGTCCGCCAGGTGTTCGATCGATTGCCCGAACGGCCTCGAAATTCGCTGCTCGAGTTCAGGTGGGTACTGTGGCCAGGGTACGAGGCAGGATAACCGGATTCAGGGGTTTGGTTCAGATGTCGTCTTTGATGTGGTCATCGAGATGGACCCCAATGCCTAGGTTCTGGCTCGACTGTGTTAGGCTCACCAGAAAATGTTACGGTAAGAGTTGTGTTAAAGGTTCATGATTTATTATTCGTATCTCTTATTCATTAGTTGTAAATGCAGCTTGTCTGTAGATATATATTTAGGAGGAAATAAATTGTTGGAATTTGTGTGTATTTTGGGAAATGCCTTGGTATTTTGATTAGCAAGCGTATTTGGTATTAAACTTATGAAGTTCCTAGGTAAAAGATTGAATAATGTTGGTGTTGTTGATTTAGTATTGTTCTATGTGTTTTTGGGTGTTTGAATGAAAGTCGTTAACATTCATATGTTTTGTGCTCAAAATTTTAAATTTCAGTTTTAAAGTACATTCAGGCTGCTCGTTTCAAAATATTAGGAACTTTTGAGTCAAGGTATGGATTTTTATTGTTTAGATCACTATACCAACAACCAACCATATTGAAACCTTGTTATTTGTAAGTGGCAAATAATGAGTGAGCTAGTTCAGATCATATTCAGGACCCTATGCTGAAATAGTTTATGGTCTGCAGCTCCCATTTCACCATGCCTGGAATGTAATGCAATTAAAAATATACAATTTTTATGAAATATATATCTTGTAGAGTTGTTTCAAATTTTAACCTTTTGTGTGGTTCACTTATTGAGTCACATGGCATGGAGAAACTGGAGATATGTGTGTATAATGCCAACTAGTAGCTATTATGAGTCATTTGTTCGGTGTTATTAGAAATTTCAAATCCTAGGTTAATTCAGTGATGTGGGACGGTGGAACCTTTGTATTTTGTAGCCGGAATATTTGCTCCTCTTTTTCTGTTATTTTGTCATTTTAGGCTTTAACTGAGTTGATCTAGAATTCCAATTTGGTTGTTAAGTTATTTAAGACAAGTGATAAATGTTTTGCCACAATCTATATTTGTATCTATATATTGAAAGACATTGATGGAATGATTAACCAGCTCACGTCCTCTTACTTCTCCAGGCGCAGCCCGCTAGGTGTTCGATCGATTTACCGAACGACCTCGAAATTCGCTGCCCAAGTTCAGGTGGGTGCTGCATGGGGTAGGATCATTTCATTTTCTTTGAGCAGTTGAGTGACCGATGAGTGTACAAAGTCAAAGGCACCATTTTCTCTCCGCAAAAATGCACAAGAATTTAGAAGTGATCAAGTGGTGAATGAATAAATTTTTTATTTTTATTTTATTTTTATTTTATTTTATTTTATTTTTGTGTGTGTTTGTAATTGATGGTTAGTTGCAAATGGTTCGATGGAGATTTGTTAGTATCAACTCTTTGCCATTTTTTCAGTTGTTTGTTGGGGTTGTAGTTGTCTACATGGAGTAAAATTTGGTATTTAGTGTTTCGTATGTTTCATATTGTTTTTAGAGTTTTTGTTAATATAATACATTGTTTTCCTACAAATAGTACCAATAATATATGTAGTAAGTACCTTTTTTTTATTAATTAGTACCTACTTTGGTCAATAAAAATGAATTACTTTTATTTCGGTACACGCTTGTGAAACTAGTACCAGTCCTAGAGTTAGACGTACTCATTAAATGGTGAATTAGTATCTACTTTGTAGCATAAACAAAAATAGATTACTTCAATTATGGTCAACATTTGCAAAATTAGTACCAGACCTAGAGTAAGATAGTATCGATATTATGGTGTTCTAGTATCATATATCGGGTCTTCAGTACCAATTTCGACGAACATTAGAAAAATAAAAATGATTTTTGTAAAATAATACCAATTTTACAACGTTTTTATGACCAAATCACGCGTGAACAATTCATTTAGTATATTAATTAATAATTCTATCTATATTAATTAATATTTTTCAACCAACTCTAATAATCATAAAAAAATGAACTCCGTAAAATGGTACCAGTTTTTTCAAGAAATAATACCACTCATTCTTCTATTTAATACTAGTTCATGATGAATTAATACCTACTTTGTAGAAAGAACAAAAGATGGTCATCAGTACCTACTTTTACTCATAGTACCAGTTTTGTATTGTTATAGTACCGGATATTAGCTCATCAGTACCACTTGTAACGAACACATAAAACACTGAATTTCGGTCTCAAATAATGTTTACATGACAAATAATCACTCTCACACTAGTTTTTATGAGATTTATAATGTTTTTAATTAAGTTTAATTGAAAATTGGCCGTGGACTTGACACACTAATGAAAAAACACTACCAACATTTCATTTCCTTAAAATTGTACCAATTTTAGGGAAAATAGTACTGCATCTTCTTCTACGTGGTACCTACTTTTGATCGATTAGTACCTGCTTTTGTTAAGAAAAATTGATTATTTCATTGTGGTCAACATTTACAAAAAGTAGTACCAGTCATAGTGTAAGTCAGTACCACATTATGGAGAGTTAGTACCAGATATCTTCTCCCTAGTACCACTTGTAATGAACACATAAGAAGACCGAACTTCGGTCGCAAATGTTGTTTATACGACTCATGATCACTCCGACATTAATTTATATAAGATATTAAATGATTTTGATTGAGTTTAATCGCAAATTGGTCATAAACTCGATACACTAATGAAAAAACACTACTACTAGACTTCATTTCATTGAATGACACACTTCATCTCATAGAAATCATCATACATGACTACTTCAAATTCTATCTATATGTTTTCAATTTCACTTTTTTTCATCCAAACCACCTGTGAACGATCCACGTGTCATGGTAGACATGGAGGATTAAAGAAATCGCGTTTTTTTATAATAGTACCGATTTTGGGAAATATGGTACCGCATCTTATTCTGTGTGGTACCTGAATTCGATCGAATAGCACCTACTTTTTTCAAGAGAAATTGATTATTTCAATTCTGCTCAGCATTTACCAAAAGTAGTACCAGTCATAGTATAAGTCAGTACCACATTATGGAGATTTAGTACCAGATATCCTGTCCCTAGTACCACTTGTAATGAACACATAAGAAGACCGAATTTCGGTCGCAAATAATGTTTATACGACCCATGATCACTCTGACATTAGTTTATATAAGATTTTAAATGTTTTTGATTGAGTTTAATCGCAAATTGGTCATAAAATCGATACACTAATGAGAAAACACTACTACTAGACTTCATTTCATTGAAGACACACTTCATCTCATAGAAATCATCATACATGACTACTTCAAATTCTATCTATATGTTTCCGTTGCACTTTTTTTTATCCAAATCATGTTTGAACGATCCACGTGTCATGGTAGACACGAAGGATTAAAGAAATCGCGTTTTTGATAATAGTACCGATTTTGGGAAATATGGTACCACATCTTATTCTGTGTGGTACCTGATTTCGATCGAGTAGTACCTACTTTTTTTTAAGAAAAATTGATTATTTCAATTCTGCTCAACATTTACCAAAAGTAGTACCAGTCATAGAGTAAGTCAGTACCACATTATGGAGAGTTAGTACCAGATATCTTGTCCCTAGTACCACTTATAATAAACACATAAGAAGACCAAATTTCGGTCGCAAATGATGCTTATACGACCCATGATCACTCTGACATTAGTTTACATAAGATTTTAAATGTTTTCGATTGAGTTTAATCACAAATTGCTCGTAAACTCGATACACTAATGAGAAAACACTACTACTAGACTTCATTTCATTGAATGATACACTTCATCTCATTGAAATCATACATGACTACTTCAATTTCTATCTAATATTTTCAATTCCACTTTTTTTCATCCAAATCACGTGTGAACAATCCACATGTCATGGTAGACATGAAGGATTAAAGAAATCACGTTTTTGATAATAGTCCCGGTTTTGGGAAATATGGTACCGCATCTTATTCTGCGTGGTACCTGATTTCGATCGAATAGTACCTACTTTTTTTGAAGAAAAATTGATTATTTCAATTCTGCTCAACATTTACCAAAAGTAGTACCAGTCATATAGTAAGTCAGTACCACATTATGGAGAGTTAGTACCAGATATCTTGCCCTAGTACCACTTGTAATGAACACATAAGAAGACCAAATTTCGGTCTCAAATGATGCTTATACGACCCATGATCACTCTGACATTAGCTTATATAAGATTTGATATTTGGTTAATTAAGTTCAATCTCAAATTGGTCACGAACCCAACACAGTACTAATGGAAAAACACCTTAATATACTTCAACTCATTGAATGGTACCAATTTATACGGAAATACTACCTCATTTTTTTCTACGTAGTACCTGTTATTGATCGATTAGTACCAACTTTTGTGACAAAAAATTGATTATTTCAATTCTGCTCAACATTTACAAAAAGTAGTACCAGTCATAGTGTAATGCAGTACCACTTTATGGCATTATAGTACCAGATATCATGTCCCTAGTACCACTTGTAATTAACAAAAAAGAAGACCGAATTTCGGTCGCAAATGATGTTTATACGACCCATAATCACTCTGACATTAGTTTCTTTGATATTTGATATTTGGTTAATTAAGTTTAATGGCAAATTAGTCACGAACTCAACACACTAATGGAAAAACACTACTTAATACACTTCAACTCATTGATTGGTACCAGTTTTTACGGATATAATACCGCTTTTTCTTCTACGAAGTACCTGCTATTGATCAATTAGTACCAGCTTTCTAGAATAAAAATGTAATACACCAATTAAAACTTCACAAAACTATTACCTATATTGCAGTATGAAATGTCAGTATATTGTACAAAAAATATTACTCATAAAGTGTCATTTACTACCCACTCTTTGGAATGAAGATGAGTACACAAGTATGGAGAGATTGCATTTTCGGATGGCAAACTGGTGATCCCATTTGTATAACGATGCATATACTCTCCATTCACAATCCGCATCGCTACAACAAACGATGACCTTTTGCTTGTCATTTTTCCGATACTTAAAAGACCGCTTGTTTGTAGTCGCGTAGTTTTTGACACTCTTTCGAAATTCGTCGGCCCCACTGAATATCTGCCCCTCTCCTTTGATGCAAGATCTCCAGGAATAGATTGATTTATCTTGCAACAACTCATCTTCTCCCTCCGAGAAATCATCAGATTGTACATTTTTCCGATCACAACCCTCATCGCTACAACAAACAATCACCTTCTGCTGATCATTTTTCCAATACTTAAAAGAGCGCTTATTTGCAATTGCGAACCAACCAGGGTATTTTGGACACTTCATGTATATCGACCGGGGCATTTTTGGTACTTCAAGTAGGTATTTCATTCTATACAAAAGGAATGAGTTAACCTAAAACCCTAACTTTCACTCTCTCTATTCATTTCTCACGGCTGCTGCTCCACTGAGCAAAGCTCTCTTTATCTCTCTCATACTGACTTGAGCGTCGGAGGCGCTACACCGAAAATACTTCCGGCATTGAGTTCTTGGAAAAATCGTGTTTATATAGGATTTCTGTGTATTTTTTTTGGTGATTTTTTGTTAGAGAGATTGATGAAAAAGGCGAGAAAAATTAGGGAGACATAAAGACCCCCCCGCTAAGGCACCACCTCCTTTAGATAAGAAAAAGAAACATCAAGCCCCTCAGACTTATCTCAATGATGTCCATCATCAGGGTATATATATGTATATTTAATGAGCCCGATATTATTACAAGCGGTGTTATTTTTGAGCCTTAACAATAAGATAAAACATAACAATTTATTTAATACATATCCACATGTAATATCTTAATAGGCGATGCCAAAATTAGGTATCAACAGTTATATCTCAAAATAGTTATATTTTAAGGATATTCGATTTTACATCCATATTGCATATATAAAATAAAAAATATTTACATCTGTCATTATAAATAAATAAAACTATATTTATTAAACAAACAATTTGAAAAATATGAAGACAACATAAATTATTTTATGACAAATATAATAAAAATCTAATTCAGTAATACACCATAAAATAATTATTTTAATGCATTTTAGCATGGATTTATAATTATATAAGAAAATTAGATGCAAAAATACGGACCCCATTTTGAATTAATTATTACTTTGTTAGTTATCCATTCTTTTTTTTTAATATATATTCATTATACATAATTTTACAACATAAAAATAAATTATTTAGTTTTTCTATTGTACAAATATTAATATATTTACGTACACTTGTGGTACATGGGTATCATCCTAGTTGATATATATTCCTCTTGGAAATTAGATCGATCTTTGAATAAATATTTTTTTAATAAAGTTTGAAATTTATAATTTAGTATAATATAGATTTATAGATTTAGTATAGATTTATAGATATAGTATAAATTTGAACGACAAAAATTATAAATTAATAGATTTAGTATAATATAGATTTATATGAAATAAAGATTAGTAAAAAATATAATTTTTTTATTTAGATAGTTTATACAAAAATATATTTATATTAATTAATAAAAAATTAAGAAAAAATATTATTATGAGAGATAATAGTAGAAGATCATAAAAAAAAAAATAATAAACAAATATATTAGAAAGAGAGAAAAAAATAATAAATAATTAAAAAAGATTGTAGGAAGGAGAGAGAAACTAATAAAATAATATATAATATCAAGTGTTAGTGGGGTGATGTCATAACTTCATTTGTTTTTTTATTTATTTTAAAGATGGGGAGTTAAGTGGAAGAATGATTAGAGGGGTAGGGAGTTAGAAGGAAAAAAATTTGAAGAGGGACTGAAGAGGAAGTCAGAAATTGCTTTAGGGATTTTTAAAGAACTTTCCCAAAAAGTAATGTAATTGAAAAAAAAAAATGGTACACAAAAATTTGTATGGAGAATTGCACAATTGAAATTATCGACTCAAGCCAAGTATTGGCTTTATTGAGTCGAGCTCGGTTTTCTTAATTGCTCGGAAATCGACTTTTTCAAAGCTCGGCTCGATATAAAAAATATATAAATGTTTGAGTCGGCTCGAGATGTACTCGAATTTCACTCAAGGTTGACTTGAATATTTTTAAAGGTTTTCTATTTAAATAAGAATTATTCTTGAGTTCAGTTCGTGTTTAGCTAGAGTCTGACTCAACATTTAATAAGAGTTTTCTATTCCAACTAAGATTTTTTTCTTGAGTTTTGTTTGTGTTTAACTCGAGTTAGAGGCATTTAGTTAACTTACACTCGAGTTTATAACATACAAACTCGATTTGAATTTGAGATGCTCGAAGTTGACTTATGCTCAATCAATACTTAAGCTTGAGTCAAAATTTTGACTTGGATGCTCGCAAGCCCTCGATTCACTTGGAGATCTAATGCCACACCATTAAATTGTACTTACAAAATATTAAAAAAAAATGACAAAAATTGAGATTTTCAAATGCAACAGAAACACAACCATTTTTATTTTAAAGGAGCA